ATGCAGCCTCAGGGTTTTTGGGGCTATGATGCAACAATTTTGTACTCCTGAAGAAAAGAGCAAAAGCCTCCAGAATATGGTAAGTGTTAATCAGCCCCATAGCTGACAGTGCAAACCAAAAGCAAACTGTCAGAAGCAAAGGACTGGTTCACTCAGCATAGTTCCTCACAATTTGACATGTAGACAGCATGTGTCTGTTACAGAATGAATGTGTTGAGGTAGCTGCTGAACAAATAACTAGTTTGTTTTTGCGGGGAAGCCACAGGAAACAAAACATCTACTGGCAGGATGGCATTAATATGCATTTTATATATGAAGAGATGAATCACCTCAGACTCCTATGGCAAGAACATCAATTTAAAACGAATAATTTGCATGTTCCTGTAGCTCAGCTGGTGGTAAAAACACCAAAACGACAGGTTTAATTACCATAAACTGGTTTTAATTAGTTTGAACACTGAAGAATGTGAGGCTTGTTCTCCATAATAAGATTACAAACTCAGGTATTAAGATGAATAGGGATTCCAGATTTCTCCTAGTGTGAAAGACTAGGATTATATGATTCAGCAAATCACATGAAGTGACATGGGGACACGTACCTGTGTTGGCTGGAGTGGTTACCTTCAGCACCATTGTGAGAAGAGGATTACATTTACAGGCACAAGAGATCAACCAAGTTCATTGTGAAAAAAACATGGCATTCCCTAGATGTACAGTGAGATAAACAACAAAGACTTTATTTCCACCCTATATCTTGATTTTTGGTAAAGGGATAATCCACCAAATATTGTTGAAAAAAAAAGATAATTTGAAGACTGCCTCAGTGATTGCACGAAAGAAAGTCATGCAGGTTTTGAATGACAAAGTGGAATTTTTCTCTTTTTTTTAAATAGTTATGAAAAGAACCATGAAAAAGCCACCTCACTATTTAGTTAAACTTATACTTAAAAGTTCAAGTTATGCAAGCATGGTTAATTGGCTTGCTAGTCAGCTAGGACACATTTTACATTACATGAAATTCTAATAGAATAAAAATATTGTGTCATTTAGTCACCCTTTAGTTGTTCCAAACCTGTGAGTTTCTGGTCGCCATTGACTTTAATAGTATTCTTTTACATACTACGCATGACAATGGATACCAGCAACTGCTTGGTTACCAACATTTTTT